TAAGGATCATTTTTCTGATTTATGTTTTTATTCTCTCTCTATATATAAAATAAGATTAACGACCGACTAAAAAACTAGCTTCTTTCACCCTTCACAGGGCTCTTCAGGTTTATTCAAAAGAACAACGTCGTGACGTCACAATTACATGTCAGCACACTACAATAGTAACGTGACGTCACGAAGTACACAAGATTGGTGGACAATTTAGCGTAAAATTTTACTGTGGCCTGTTGAGACTTGGTTTTAATATTTGGTGTCACACAAGAATTATCAAACTTAGAACATGTCAACATACGTTTCAAGTTCTTACGTTGGCGTCTACAATGTAAAATAGCATGTTTATTAAAAATGTTTCTCATACGCCTGCTACTTTGCTTTAATTCTTCACATTTGTTCTTTATCACAGGAAACATATTACAATTCCGTGGATTGAAAGTAGAAACAAAAGGAACTAACTTTGATTCATCCTTTAGTTTTTGTAGACGGGAAGTAAAGGGTCCCTTTTCAATAGCTTTCTGTATACCATGTTCTATTATCTCATTAGGATAACATTGAGCTTTAAGGTATTGCTTTAGTTGACTGAGTCTAGCAATTTGAGCTTGTTGGTCGCTGACGATAGTGACAATCCGTGAGGCAAGATTAAAAGGAATATTCACTTTAGTGTGTTTACTGTGGTTAGAGTAAAAATTTAGATAATTATGTGCCTCTGTAGTCTTACAATATAAATCCGTTGTAATCTTATTTGAATCTAGTTGAACTAAAACATCTAAGAAAGGTAAAGACGTTTCGCTACACTCCATCGTATAACAAATAGAAGGATGTAAAGAATTCAATAGGGTTTGAAATTCATTTAAATCCTTATCAGAAGGCCATATAACAAAACAATCGTCAAGGAACCTTAAAAATTCTCTCTGATAAATTCAGTAAAGTTTTTCCCAAACTTTGTTGCAATCTTAGAATAAAGTGTTTCCTCTAAGTATCCTAAAACTAAAGTTGCATATATACTGTACCCTTAATCTGTTGAAATTATTCTTGCTCAAAATAAAAAGAATTACGATTGAGGACAATGTCTAGAGCTTGCAGTATAAATTCATTACTAAAACGAGAATGAACTTTTTCTCGTTTTTTGATCAACCAATATTTAACAGCTTCAATACCAAGATCGTGCGGTATATTAGTGTATAAACTAACAACATCAAAAGAAACAAGTTTAGCATTATGTGGGACCTGTTTAGATAAACGGCTCAGAAAATCAAAATTGGCTTTGATATAACTGTTTACACTTGTGCATAAAGGTTTAAGAATGAGGTCTACAGGATTAAATATTGGTTGATCAAAAAACGAGAAAAAGTTAATTCTCGTTTTAGTAATGAATGTAATGCAGTTTTGGTTGTTGATCCTTACTAATGTATTGGTGTCGTTGAGGCGGTTCGAAATTGGCCAATATGGCTTATATTAATATATATATGTACATAAAAAATAAGATTATTTGTATATTTTGAAAGTGCATTTATTGCATATATTCATGTTCTTATAGGGAGGTATATATATTATATTTGTTATGTACCTCGGGTCTCTTACTGCCGGTTGTGCCCGACAGTAGAGAAACGTCGATCTGCTTATCTGAGGGGTCTCTATGGTGTATGCGGATATTTACCCTTAATTCTTTGGTGAATGTCTATTTAAGAAAATAAAAATAAAAAAATAAAATAAAAAATGGTTGTTAGTAGATGGTCTTATGGGGGTCTATAAGTTGTTGGGCTTATAATATATGAGTCTTATTGAAACTTTTATTGTATAAAAAGATGGGGAGATCACCGATCGTATCATATCATGGCGTTGGTCTAGGAGGAGGGCGTACCTTATCCAGGCTGTCCGTTATTTATATCCTACTCTATTTTGTGTTTTGTTTTGTTCCTATATTTTGGAAGTCCGTCGAATCGTCGAAAATAAATGTAATCTAATCTATCCCTATCCTCTGTGTCGGCGTTAACGCGCCTACTCTTTCGACAATACACAGAGGGATTTTTTACGTGCAGGTTGGACCCTCCTACGCGGGACACCGTTTATAGTCCCCTCCGCCGGACTGTGAGTTGTTGGTGAGTGGTTATTGTCATGCAGGTGATAGTTAATCTTGTTTTTGGCGTCCATTCTTGAAACCGTATCCAGTCTTTGCACTTGATGGAAAACTTTTCTCTTCAGTACCAATGTTCTTTTTTCTTATAAAACTTTCCTTTATCTTTCGTCTGTAACTGTTCACTGTTCTGACTTTTATAATTATTTTGTGAGTATTAGTATAAGATAGTTGTTGGAGAGGTGGGAAGAAAAAGGTGGGTGCGACGAGTTTGTGCATTGGTGAGAGTTATCAGTAGGTAGAGGAGAGTTGGGTAGATGCAGGTATGGGGAGGGGGGTTGTCGGGTTTGTGCATTGAGTTTTTATATAGAATTATATTAATGCATGTATAGTTATTAGATCACCCACACCAGACCATTTTATACTCCGCCTGGATTGAAAGAGATTAGTAGACAGGTGAAAAACACTTTCTCTGAATATTCCACGCCTACGACGACATCGGGGATCGAACCCCGGCCGCCTAAGGCCGGAGTGTTAACCACACGATCGCGACCAATGCGTTTACTTGGGACAGCCGTGTGAATTAATCAGTGTCAAATTATATTGTAGCAGACCCCTTTCAGTACAAATACCAATGTGATACTAGTCATTGTCTGAGGTGACACGGGCTAGTTAATCTGATACGATAGGGACATTTCTACCTGAAGCTGATACGGCTCCATATCAGCTAAATGGCCGAGGGAGAACCCTGTTAAGATTGCTAGAATTACTTTAAAAATAATTTGCTAAAGTGCCATCGTCACTTCTATATCTTTAGGGTCGTGAGAACATTGACCAGATGAATACTGGCGAACACAACATCATTTGATTCCAGTAGATATACTAATATTACATGTACTAAAATTCAATCAAGTTGATGTTGAAGTTTTTTGACAGCATGTTACAGCTCACTGAGAACGTGTTTACCAATTCATCTAGGCGATAGGGTAGATAAAAATTAATATAAGGCGATAGAGTAAATAAGACTTAACTACGTTGACGTGGATGTGTCAGCTCTACATAACTCGTATCAAATTTAATCACGAAATTGTCTCGAGTGACCGAAACATGGTTTCACGTTATGATGCATATCTTATATAGTTAGCACAACTTGCTATCGCAATGCAAGTTATCGCCATTGTGATTTCTTCTTTAAAGACACAAACAAATATTTTCGGACCTGGTTTAGTTCTTATACCAGGACCGTTGTCTTTAATTTTTTGTATACTACTGTTCATTTCAAATTTATATTCTGGTGTCTTAAATTACTTCCATTACATTTTGTACCCTAAATCAACTTCAGAAAAACCTTGTACTTAAGGAGGCTCCACCCTTTCGCAATTAACCAGCAGAAGTTAATGAAAGTTTCACATAATGATTATGTCACTATGTAAAGATGATTTTATGAATATCTAAGCATTCCGATAAACTGGGGATTTTTTTGGTAAAAAAATACCGAAAATTTGATTTTTTCTCAACTTAAACACTTTCACATTTTTTGAGTGTGTGGCATTGTTCAAAACTAATACAACAATAAATAATGAAAAGAAACAGAAACATTGCTAATCAACCCTACAAATATCTTATTTAACATAAAATATCTACAACATGTTACACAAAGTGTTTTTTATTGAAATTGTATGGATAAAAGTTATTATATATAAGCTAAAAGCAAACAGGACACATAGTTTCATACAAAAAGAATGACAAATTGAACCAAATACACATTAAGTCTTTATAATTAATTTATTTTACATTTTACAACAATTTTGATCCTGATGAGAGTTGTCTACCTTTAAAAAAATCGGAACTTTTTGCAGAGGGATAGAATTTATACAGTGACAGTTATTTTACAAACCACTATTTTCACATAGTTATTGTAATCGCATTTGTGAAATGATTTATCTGACAGAGCGTAACTCGCTCGGCAATAAAAGTCGTAGCGACCCCGAGCTTGTGAACTACTGTTAGCACGTGCACATATGTACAGGTGAGGTCTGAAAACAAAACGCATCAGTCTGAATTCTATGCGCCTCATATACAACCTTCTTGAAGTCGTCTGATCTTATGTCAGTCATGTCCTCCCGTGAATTAATTAATGTCTTTGTATCATAAGCTTTATTTCTGAAGTACGTGTGATTACTCATTTCGAAGTTAAGTCTCGAAATCGGGTGTTCATATATTATCGTCACGCACGTGTACTATTGTTTACCCGCTGTTACCATAATTTACACTACGGTAATGGAATGACCGATACGCAATACGGAAATGACGACACGAAAATAACACAAGAAAAACATGTGTATTACGAAGGGTTTGAAGTCCTTTTAATGCATTTTGTTTTTATCAAATATCAAATACTATTATTTTTATTGAACTAATTGTTTGCTTGTTTCAGGTTTACACTTGGGGATACATATTGCCTGAGATATTATACCTGTAATCTGTGCCTATAGGAGCGGTGAAGGTTCTATTGCAGGCAAAACACCAGATAATAGCTAAGTTTTAGGTTAACCAAGTAACCGCCCTTTAAATTCTTGTTTTGTCTGTATTTCACTGTAGCGAGTCTAGGCTAGTTTCATGTAACTGCATGATCTGGTAATTCATTAAGAAAATATCATAAAAGCATCAATCTGTATAAGGAGAAATGATCTGTCAGTATCACAGACTCTTTTTCAAATCACTGGGTATCAGTATTTCAAAAAATAATAAGTCTAAAACCCGATAAAACCATAAGATGCGAGTCCTGTACAGTACATTGTACCAAAGAGGTATGGAGTTAAATGATTTAGTGTATTTTATCCCTGCAAAGCACAGTCGACACAACAAGAGGTGTACTCCATGTCAAGCATATGTCTCTCTATATAATGTTTTAATCGGTACTTACGAGCGGTGGCGAGTTGGAAATTGTCAGCGACATCAATAGTTTTAGTAGACCATGCTAGCTCGAATTTTTTGTCCGGCCTTTGGTTGTATAGATCACATGCTAAGCGGAAACTGGAACGGAGTTGTTGGTCTTGAGCATTAAAGATAGTCCCTGTTCAAGAAAGAAAAATACACAAAACAAAAATATACTATGTGAATATAATATTGTAAACTGCTCTTTGAGCAAACCAATATCTACATATGTAATGAAATATATTTCAAATCGGACCCTTGAAAAAGTCATAAGGTAACAAAATATTTTGATGAAATACATCATATTCAACAACCCGTGCAGGATCGAGGGAAGCTATGTCTACTGTATCTAACTACATGGTCGTAAGAGGCGACTAATTAGACCAACCAGCAGAATTAGTAGTGGTTTCGTCTTTCTCTTCTGTTTTGGTTACATTGCAGAAATCAATAACACACCTGCTGTATCCCAATGCATGTGTATCATAAAAGGCGTGTAATGCAGGCCCCTTCAGAATCGGAAGTTTCTTCCGTGTCTTCTACGAAGGGGACAGGGAAGGGACTGAAATTGATAGGTTGCCCCCATCGAACACTTGGGATCATTTTCGTTTCCTATCTTTTTCTGGCTACTTTCTATTTCAGGCGGAGTCTCCCTAGACACCATGCCTTATATGACCCTGGCTGTTGTGTCTCCCTCGACACCAGTCCTTATATGACCCTGGCTGTTGTGTCTCCCTCGACACCAGTCCTTATATGACCCTGGCTGATGTGTCTCCCTCGACACCAGTCCTTATATGACAACGGCTGTTGTGTCTCCCTATAGACACCAGCCCTTATAAGACCCTTATAAGATCCATAGTTACCAGTCCTTATATGACCCTGCATGTTGTCTCCCTAGTTTCCCGTCCTTATTTGACCCTGGGTGTTGTCTCCCTAGGCACCAGTCCTTATTTGACCCTTGCTGTTGTCTCCCTAGACACCAGTCCTTATATGATCCTGCATGTTGTCTCCCTAGTTTCCCGTATTTATTTGACCCTGGCTGTTGTCTCCATAGTTACCAGTCCTTATATGAACCTGACTGTTGTCTCCCTAGACACCAGTCCTTATATGACCCTGCATGTTGTCTCCCTAGTTTCCCGTCCTTATATGACCCTGACTATTGTCTGACTAGGTACCAGTCCTTATTTGACCCTGGCTGTTGTCTCCCTAGGCACCAGTCCTTATATGACCATTGCTGTTGTCTCCCTAGACACCAGTCCTTATATGACCCTGCATGTTACTACGATTATGAGTGTGCCTTGTTTATTACGATTATTAGTGTGCCTTGTTTATTACGATTATTAGTGTGCCTTGTTTATTACGATTATTAGTGTGCCTTGTTTATTACGATTATTAGTGTGCCTTGTTTATTACGATTATTAGTGTGCCTTGTTTATTACGATTATTAGTGTGCCTTGTTTATTACGATTATTAGTGTGCCTTGTTTATTACGATTATTAGTGTGCCTTGTTTATTACGATTATTAGTGTGCCTTGTTTATTATGATTATTAGTGTGCCTTGTTTACTACGATTATTAGTGTACCTTGTTTATTACGATTATTAGTGTGCTTTGTTTATTACGATTATTAGTGTGCCTTGTTTATTACGATTATTAGTGTGCCTTGTTTATTACGATTATTAGTGTGCCTTGTTTATAACGATTATTAGTGTGCCTTGTTTTTTCGTTTATTAGTGTGCTTTTTTTATTACGATTATTAGTGTGCCTTGTTTATTACGATTATTAGTGTGCCTTGTTTATCCGTTGTCACCATTCCGGTTATTAGTGTTCCTCGTGATCCGTTGTCACCATTCCGGGTATTAGTGTGCCTTGTTTATTTCGATTATTAGTGTGCCTTGTTTTTCGTTTATTAGTGTGCTTTTTATATTACGATTATTAGTGTGCTTTGTTTATTACGATTATTAGCGTGCCTTGTTTATAACGATTATTAGTGTACCTTTTTTATTACGATTATTAGTGTTCCTTGTTTATTACGATTATTAGCGTGCCTTGTTTATAACGATTATTAGTGTACCTTGTTGATCCGTTGTCACCATTCCGGTTATTAGTGTGCCTCGTGATCCGTTGTCACCATTCCGGTTATTAGTGTGCCTTGTTGATCCGTTGTCACCATTCCGGTTATTAGTGGGCCTTGTTGATCCGTTGTCACCATTCCGGTTATTAGTGTGCCTCGTGATCCGTTGTCACCATTCCGGTTATTAGTGTGTCTTGTTGATCCGTTGTCACCATTCCGGTTATTAGCGTGCCTTGTTGATCCGTTGTCACCATTCCGGTTGTTAGTGTGCCTTGTTGATCCGTTGTCACCATTCCGGGTATTAGTGTGCATTGTTTTTCCGGTTATTAGTGTGCCTTGTTTATCCGTTGTCACCATTCCGGTTATTAGTGTGCCTTGTTGATCCGTTGTCGCCATTCCGGTTATTAGTGTGCCTTGTTGATCCGTTGTCTTCATTGCGGTTATTTGTGTGCCTTGTTGATCCGTTGTCACCATTCCGGGTATTAGTGTGCCTTGTTGATCCGTTGTCACCATTTCGGTTATTAGTGTGCCTTGTTGATCCGTTGTCATCATTCCGGTTATTAGTGTGCCTTGTTGATCCGTTGTCGCCATTCCGGTTATTAGTGTGCCTTGTTGATCCGTTGTCGCCATTCCGGTTATTAGTGTGCCTTGTTGATCCGTTGTCTTCATTGCGGTTATTTGTGTGCCTTGTTGATCCGTTGTCACCATTCCGGTTATTAGTGTGCATTGTTTTTCCGGTTATTAGTGTGCCTTGTTTATCCGTTGTCACCATTCCGGTTTCGATTTTAGGACGCGGAATCACTGCTAACAATGCTGACAGTAACATTATGAGGATGATATTAGGAAAAATTACAAACAATATCAGTATCCGAAACGTTAACTTCATAAATAATGAAATTACAGATTCTACTGGCGTCATAGTTCTGTTGAAGAAGCTGATATGGGCAAATGCTACCTTTGTCTAGCTTGTATGTCCAGGAAAAACGCATATATTTTCTATAGATGCCAACACTAACACCATCTCTTCCCAAAGACTCGGGGAAAGATGGTGTCGGTATCCCAGCTATAATTGGTTTAAATGTTACATAGCACCCAGAAGATAACCAGCGGCATATATAAGGCCGGCGTAGAGTGACCTGTATCAAACGGTCGATAGTTCAGTCCGCACAACACAGGAACTGGTCAACACCTCTCGTGTCTTGTCACTGAGGTTTCTGGATGTGGTAGAAATACCACACAGCGTTTCAAAGATTATTTTCCAGGGAAATTTCAGAGAAATGTTGTTTTAAAGCATATGCCAAAAAATAACGTATTAGAAATAAGCATTTGAGCTTTTTTACGAGCCATCATTTGTCAGTAACATTTTGTTTAATCAGAGATATCGTTCAACGTTTCTGAAGCCTAGAGGTAGAGCAATTAAAATAAACTGAATGATATATGTAGAATACACTTCATACAATTGCAATTACTGGTACTTTATATTAATGTGATTACAAGTTTTATTTATTACTGGATTATTTAAAAACAATATCGTCAATAAATACCGCTACTGAAACGATTGAATAACAAGAACACGCCTCTGATATGTGTAAGTAACAATTGAATATGTCACTTATACTATATGCCCAGTTGTGTGTGGTACGACGGCTGATATTTGTATCATGCTCATAAGTGTGTATTTTAGTTTTGTTGTCACCACCCCATTCCCGATGTGAGGACGTGATACCACCCCATTCCCGATGTGAGTCACCACCCCATTCCCGATGTGAGTACGAAATACCACTCCGTTTCCGATGTTAGGACCTGATACCACCCCATTCCCGATGTGATGACGTAATACCACCCCATTCCCGAAGTGAGGACGTGATACCACTCCGTTTCCGATGTTAGGACGTGATACCACCCCATTCCCGATGTGAGGACGTAATACCACCCCATTCCCGATGTGAGTCACCACCCCATTCCCGATGTGACGACGTGATGCCACCCCATTCCCGATGTGAGGACGTATTACCTCCCCATTCCCGATGTGAGTCACCACCCCATTCCCGATGTGACGACGTGATGCCGCCTCATTCCCGATGTGAGGACGTGATACCACTTCGTTTCCGATGTGAGGACGTGATACCACCCCATTCCCGATTTGAGGACGTGATACCACCCCATTCCCGATGTCAGGACGTGATACCACTCCATTCCCGATGTGAGGACGTGATACCACCTCATTCCCCATGTGAGGACGTGATACCACCCCATTCCCGATGTGAGTCACAACCCCATTCCCGATGTTAGGACGTGATACCACCCCATTCCCGATGTTAGGACGTGATACCACCCCATTCCCGATGTTAGGACGTGATACCACCCCATTCCCGATGTGAGTCCCCACCCCATTCCCGATGTGACGACGTGATGCCCCCTCATTCCCGATGTGAGGACGTGATACCACCTCATTCCCGATGTGAGGACGTGATACCACCCCATTCCCGAGGTGAGGACGTGATACCACCCCATTCCCGATTTGAGGACGTGATACCACCCCATTCCCGATGGGAGGACGGGATACCACCCCATTCCCGATGTGAGGACGTGATACCACCCCATTACCGATGTGCGGACGTAATACCACTCCGTTTCCGATGCTAGGACGTGATATCACCCCATTCCCGATGTGAGGACGTAATACCACTCCGTTTCCGATGTGAGGACGTGATACCACCCCATTCCCGATGTGAGGAAGTGATACCACCCCATTCCCGATGTGAGGACGTGATACCACTCCGTGTCCGATGTGAGGACGTGATACCACCCCATTACCGATTTGAGGACGTGATACTACCCCATTCCCGATGTGAGGACGTGATACCACCCCATTCCCGATGTGAGGACGTGATACCACCCCATTACCGATTTGAGGACGTGATACTACCCAATTCCCGATGTGAGGACGTGATACCACTCCATTCCCGATGTGAGGACGTAATACCACTCCGTTTCCGATGTGAGGACGTGCTACCACCCCATTCCCGATGTGAGGAAGTGATACCACCCCATTCCCGATGTGAGGACGTGATACCACTCCGTTTCCGATGTGAGGACGTGATGCCACCCCATTCCCGATGTGAGGACGTTATACCACCCTATTCCCAATGTGAGGACGTGATACCACCCCATTCCCGATGTGAGGACGTGATACCACCCCATTCCCGATGTGAGGACGTAATATTACTGGGATTCGACCCAGATTTACATGGCGGGATTGCTTGACCAAGCAGAAGACGATCACGTTTACCCCGAAACACCCGGCCTTTTATTCTCCTTGTACTTTTTCAAGTATTCCAATGTAAAAAAAAATGTCATATTTTGCCGTAGTTTTATCGTTTTTGAGATAAAATTACGATCGATGATCACACAGACCTAACGAGTCAAACTGTTGGAAAATATCAGAAAAAAAATATGCCTCAAACAATTTTCAATGTGACATATCGCGAATCAAAATATCACAAACACATTAAGGTATCGTTATTATAATATGCAGCTCATTATTCGAATTAAAATCCTCGTAAATAATTGAGATGTTTTATAACACGCCTACCGTATGTAGTCTGTTTGTTCTGTTTATTAAAGTATTTGAATCCCCCCTCCTGCAATCAATATAACAATTATAAGCATGCGAATGACCGTTATGGTTAGAACTTACCTATTGGAAGCGTTAATGGACCACCAGGGATGCTTGACGAGTTCGTAACAGACCGGATGTGACGTAATCTGTTTCTGTCTTGGTAGATATTAAAGCCATCATCTAGAAAATGAAAAATTGAATTGTCACTGGGGAATTTGTTTTTTTCGCAAGATGATGTTTGATCAAACAATTATCACAGCACGGTGATATTTTCGGCGACATCATTTAACAAAACAGGCCAAAACTTTTCGTTTTGCATTATCTGATAAAATCTTTAACATAACTGATTAAGAAAAATATGACAAAGAAGAAAGTAGTCATACTATTAACAATTTGAAAGCAATTGACTTCTCCATTTTGCATTATTAATTTTACTATTTCTTTTCTTTGACTAATTCATTCATACTTTTGCAAACGTGTTCCCATCATAAAGCAACCTTATCCCATAACACGTGCCATATATGCGCTCAGTAACAGAGAAACACAAGAAACACAACATCAACATCTTGGTCCAGTCGTCATCACAACACACTTCCATGGGTGTTTTGAATTATCAGGAGTTTCACGGATGTCGTTTGCGATTCCATATTCTATCTGTCAAGTGCAAATCTCAATTCACTACGTAGCATCAAAGCAATTAGTAGAGCCAGCATATTTGCACTGTGTGTCAGAGAGATGGATATGTCTGTGCTGTACAAATTCTACCATCCCGTGATTAGTAACACGTTTGCTTACGGGCTTCCTTGATTACTACCACAACATAATTACCCCCTTTGGAAATACAACGCCCGCGATTCTTACTCTCATGTGTACTCTATTTTGAGATTTAAAATTAGGAATAAACCAATTGTGTTTTGGCTAACACAATCTCCACGTTAACCGGAGAATATAATAACTAGAAAAACATTTTGATTAACGGAAATATTTTTTTAACATTCGAACACATTAATGTCAAATTATGCACATGGTATATCTTCGTGGTGTTCGAACAAATTAAGGCATGAAGAGATTACATACGTCTTAAAATGATTTTGGTGTATTCTTTTTCATTATTCGCTATATTATCCTATGCCATACAAAGGGCTAATTGGATTCCTCTCCATGTAAGAATATTTCTTTTCTTTGGAGTAGTATTTGATATTTAGGAAGCTGTCAGTTAGGGTTTTTTTAAATTTTCTCCACAATTCTGATAATAAACTCCAGTAATCCAAAATGTGAGAAAACATATGAAAGAGGATGCCACATGTCGAGCAATATAGTATACGAGAGACATTCCTGGATTGATCAAAACCAAAGACGTACATGAGACAAGATTAAAACCTGGAAAGAAAAGAGGAAAAAATATTTTTTTTTACTTACAATGTACCAAGTGAAGTAAATTTGTATAACTTTATACTTTCCATTATCAACTGTTAACATCAATCACTTCTTTATATGATATAATGTTTTATGTACTATATAGGTTAATTCTACGAAGGTTCAGTCTGCTCTTTTTTGCTGGCAACTCAGTTTCTGAGTGGTTTTTACTGTATTGAGTTTCCAATGTTGTCTGTTGTCCAAGTGTGTTGACGCTATGGTATACAGTGTAATAGTGATTTTCTCTTTTACCTCAGTTGAAAACAAAAATATGGGTTAAAACATTCTACAATCGTTTTTTTTTTATTAAATGTAAACGAAAATGAAATTTGTTTGATAATATTGTCTCTTACACTAGAAACAGTTACCAGATAAAATACATAGGTCAGTCTAAAGTGAGGCTCCTATCGACATCACTTTGAGATCATGGCGCTGTGGATGCCTGGCAAATCAGAATACGGCAGAAAGGTTATTGAACATATAGTATTTTCAACAGTACTTCATCAATTGTGAGGTCTCAGCTAAAGTAGGATGATTTGTGACTGTTACGGAAATAACAGGCTCTTGGCTATGCAGAATTGCAAGTGACTTCTGGATGTGAAGAAAGCAAAACACTTATTAACTTTGAAAAAATTGCGACTGAGTTTTATTTGAAAGTAATTTGCTCTTGGAACCAGCACGGGTGAGTTGTGAATGTGTGTAAAGCTAAATAGCTATTAGTATTTGATTTGTTTGTGTAGAAGTAACACGCTATTTGCTATGTATATACAGACGACTTCTGATCGTGTAAGAAAAAAAAGGTTGTTGGCTATTGATAAGGGGAGTGCATTTTGATCGTACAGAAAGTGATAAGGTATTGTCTAAACAGGTGAGTGCAGGTGGGATTTGACAAAAAAGAATTGACTATGAACAGGTACAGATGAGTGGCAATTGTTAAATGATATCAGCTTTGGATATGGACCAGTACAGGTTGGTTAAGATCGAATACAAAAAGCTAAAAAATAAAACAAAATGAAAAAGAAAATCTGTTGGCAATGCTGGCTTTGGAAAAAGACATAGAGGTTTTGATTGTACAGAAAGTAGTACGCTGTTGGTATTTGTAGATAGGTACAGAGTTTTGTAGATACAGAGTTTTGTAGATAGGTACAGAGTTTTGTAGATAGGTATAGATGTGTACTGGCCCTGGTATCTTGAAAGTCTTTGCCAGTGTTCCTTCATCAATGCAGGTTCATTAACATATTTTGTTATTAGCTTTTTTCATTGTATTCTAACCAACCCAAACAGGAAAATAAAGTATGAAATTCAATATCAGATTGTCTTTATCTCAATTTATTTCATAAGAGTTTTGTAAAACTCGATTCTTTTTACTTTATGATGAATACAGAAAAAATGAAGATGAAGCAACATGTGCTCATATAACTTCATACAATAAAAAATTACGAGGTTCATAAGTTTCTAAAAAAACGTGCATCCATTGGCAAATACAGATATAATTTATATTTTCAATTAGCAAACCAATTGATTCTCTTGATGGTCCTTTTGAAATCACGCAGACGTTTTGTCTTCATGTCCCGTTAATGAGGTATGACTAGCAGCAATCCCTATGATGAATTCTACTTTATGATTAACTTGTAACTGTCTAGTACAACTATAACTTATACATGTCTGTGTGTACCATTACCTGTTCAACAGCCAGTAATGAGCCTGTCCTTGTATAACTAATTCTAGTTAAGCAAATTACTACCGAATCTTCTACAAATTGTTCAGCCTAACCTCCCCTATTTTCTTTAATGACAATAGTCAAATTAGTGTGCTCGGCAAGCTACGTCTTTTAAAATTGATTTCTTTTGGGGTTTGTGTGAGTGTTTTAAGATACCAAATTTGTTTTCACGCGCTGAATTGGACGCAAAGGCAGTAACTTTCCAATTCTGCATGTTAACTATTCAACAGTTTTTACTGTAGAAGATCCCTAGCGTGTGTCCACTAATGCGTGCTGTGATAGTTCGTATACAAATATAACGGAAAAAAACGTCCCGTGTTTTAGCCTTGACAATTGGTGTCAGTTGCACATTTGTTCCCGCCTTCAGTTATTGGTGATTGGAACGCTATTTACAGACAGTCCTAGCCGACTATCATCAAGGCCTAAAAGCTTTATATTAGTTTAAGATAAATGAAAAAAGCATTTAATATATTCAAATTAGATAACAGTTGGTATTATTTTATTATGCAAGTTGGCCACATCTAGAAAAAAGATGAAAATGCCATTAACAGTAGTGAATTAGCATGACAACAGAACGTTACAAGAACAATAGCAAGGGGACGAGAGGAGAAGAGGAAGGAAAAGAAGAGGAACAAAATAAAGATGAATAACAAGAAGAGGAAGAAAAAGGTGGAGACAGAAATAAAATTTGACTGTATATATCAGGTCATCTGTGAATACACTAACTTCATGCAAATAATAGCTTTAATTGACAATTTGATTGATCCGTTTGTTCCCTGCGTATAGCCTGTATCAAATGGAACCAAATATATCCGGTCCAAACTGATTTAAAGTGTCTATGTTTATTGTTTAAGCTAGTTATCCTATTTCAAATACATTTGTATTTTCTAAATGTCCGGTTGTCAAAAATAATAGCTATAACACTTAGTATGAATCCCCTCGATACCTACAAACAACGAGCTGCTGCTCCCTCGTTCTGTACGGTGATAGTGATTGACTGAAGCCAACCGACCACTTATAATTATATAAAGCTCAGTTATTGTTACATGTCAGACTCGTATACACAACTATTGACATTCAGGACGATCAGAAATGGTTCCAACTCACAGCCTGTACCTTTACGATAAATCAGGGACTGCTATAGTTCAAGCAATACATTATACTAAGTGTATAATTAGCGATCGAAAATTATCGGTTACAGTTACAGATATTACTATCGGGTACGGAATTCCTTTTAAACTAATTATATAGGATGTTTGACGAACTAACAGACAAGAACGAATGTAGCATACGCCATTTAATTGAATAGTGCCGGTATGAGAGTTTTATTTTCTATTTAGGAACACATTTACATCCATAAGCACACATGCACATTTGAAATAAGTCTCATGCATGGGGCAAAACGAGTGCGCATTGTACTTACTGATGTTATATTCAGGTTACTATGACACATCCTATCCCAGACTTCTAGATTGAAGGTACATTACCGGATAGGGCAATCCCGATGAAGATATAACTGATTTAAACAGGTGATGTGTCATACTTCTGTGGCTATGGTGTGATCTGTCAGCGTGATGACATTATAGGATGGCGTTGGAGCGATCTTAACTATGACAACGACTTCAATTCAAGATAAGAGATACCTTTTTCTGATTTTATTGTTATATGTACGCCTTATCTAGCTACAAGCAGGTACTCTAAGCCTCTTTATCGTACATAATATACAATCACTATAATCAATACATCAACCAGACAAAAACAATTTTGTATATGCAATATTCTATACTACAACGAAGCACACATCATTTCAAAAGGATTAATTTCACAGCGCAGACGCTAAATCAGATTTGTTTTTCATTACTATGTCGAGATTTATTTCTATAATATATTTATTTGGTTTGTAGTAGCTGTGCGAGATCAGGACATTAGTGTTAACCTTTCCATACGGCCCATGGGTGCTGTGAATAAACTGTTACGCTAAGTTGAAAGCTCAAAGATTCTTGCAAAGTTCTAGATTTATTGAGTGATTTATGCATAAGTGATG